AAGTATATATAGATTTCTATTCATAATATTTGTGTTGTGTATATGATGGTTAAAAAGAAAAACTATTTGGTATTGTCACTGTACAGAAAGTAAAAGATTTTGTACAACGCTTCTCGAACACACGAGCTTGCAACTTCAGGGCAAGTTTTTTCTTTCATTGCATGTATGTGTATTTTTCTTTTTTTCCAGTTAAAATAGACTTTGGCAAAAATAAATCATGGCTATACACTCCTCAGCTAAATCCTCCCTCCTCCTGGGGACCAACTTGAAACTTCCCAATGCATAACTTTCTCTGCCTAGACCAGAACACTGCCAGCTCATCTTCCAAGAACCCCGAGGGGAAAGAGAAAAAGAAAACGGTGTATAAAGCTGACTGTATCTCATTGTGCATGGAACTACAAGAGTCACTAAAAGGAACAAGGAAATAGCTTTTCTAAAAAAATTAAATTATTATTTTTTTTTAAGACACATACAGTTAGTTTATGACAACAGGAAGTACTTCCCATATCAGTAGCAACTTTTCAAATTACTCAGTCCTGGAGCCAGGTTACCAATTTTTTCTGTGTTAAAAAATGGTCACTATTAAATAGCCTTTAGTCAGCCTGTCAGCATCACAAAAGTGAAGTACATATGAAAAAGATACTTGCACTTGAGTCTGTCAGCAGGCTATAAGACTTTTTCTTTTTTTTAAAGCCATGAATGTATTTATATGAAATGTATTTTATCTTCTGTGTCTTGGTTGACTGAGGATTGCTATTTTAAAAAATATACATACACAATGTAAACATTTCAAAAGTGGAATACAACTTCAATGGTTCAACAAGTCTGTGTTCTGGAAGATCTTTCTGTATTGCACAAGTTGTCTCTAGTTACTGTTCTGTGCCTCCCATTCTGTCTGAAACCAAGCTTATCTTAGAAGGACCTCAAAAGCAGCAGCAATGAGTACAGATATTAAAAACAAAGCCTCCAGGGGGCCTCATTTTGCTTTTAAGGAATGAACTAAATATGGCTGTGCTGCAAAAGGCAATTTGATACACCATCAGCTTTTCAAGCATTTCTGGAGAAGGGAAAGGTTTACATCAGGCTGCCTTCAAAGATGGGGGTTGTTTGCAAATAAAATAACCTGCAGTTTGGAAAGAACTTTATCCTTCATTTTAATGAATTCTGAATCCTTTTTGTGACAGAGCTTGTGAAGAAGAAATAGAGGACGAGCAAGAATGTGTAATTCTTGCCATTAAAAATAAGGAACTGGGATGCAGATGAAGGGATAGTAAATTCCTTTAAAACCATTATGTGATACTTGCTGTATGCTGTGCTTGGCTGAAAGAACATAGAACATGGGACTGAAGTGTGAGGGAGAGGTTCATGTACTACACGTGAAGGTTCCAGAATGCTCAGAGTAGCTGCAAGTTCTTCAGAAAGCAGGTTCAGAATTTAAAATTATCCTCCTAAGTCTGAGAAACAAATTCAAAGAGAAACAAAAGCCAGTTTGGGCATATCCCATATAAGATTCTATTAGGCCCCCTACCTCAAAAAACATGGGGTATCCAGAGAAAGACAGAGTATAACTACCTTTACAGTGGGACTAGAAGGCTTCATCTATGAAGGAAGGTTATAGTTGAGTTTAACTGGCCTGAAGAGGAATGGCACATGACAAGAAATGAGTAACCTTCAACTCCTTGCAACATTACCCTAATGAAGGCACAAAGAGCCATGGCCACAGAAAGAGGAGGAACAGCTGAGTTTACACAAAGTCACATTTACGATTTGACACAGGACTTTAAAACAATTCCTTACTAAATACTGAACTAGCTGCCCAAGCGCTCTGCCATTGAAAGTCTTCAGAGCCTCAATGAAGGTTAAATAAAAGCCTTTAAGAAACAGCTTTGGCTCAGCCCCTTGGATGGGGGCTGGCAGAAGAGTCCTGGTCCCTGTACAAAACCCAGCAGTGATGCTGCATGTAACAGGGGTCATTAAATGGCTTGCAAGGGGAAAAGAAGTCTGAACAGGGACAGTAATGAGTTATTCCCTCAGGAGCAAGCGAGGTCATGTTTAACCACACACTGCACATGTAGTGCCCACTTGGAGCATGACAGGATGCAGAGTTCTGCCTGCCACCTACACCAGGGCTGAACTGCAGGGCTGTGAAAGGAACAGAACACAAGCTGAGAACGTGGGTCACTAATTTTCAGTCAACCTCCCCCAGATCTACCACATCCCAGAACTATAGTTTAAAAAAAATACGTTGTATTCTAATGATAAATTAGTGATGTTCTGCAATTACATGCAAAACAAGAAATAAATTCTCATTATGTATTTGGGTTTGGCATGTTGGGGTTTTTGTTTCTTGGCTCTGTTTGGTTTGGGTTTTTTCTGTTTGTGGGTTTTTTTGGTAGTTTTGTTTTTTTTTCTGACCCTGCCCAATGACTAAGCTCTATTTACATGAGCATAAATAATTTCCCTTTTGAAGGCTAAAATTTACACACTGGAAGCTTAAAAAATAACAAATCTGGTGCTGCTTTTGCATAAGATGATCAGTGGAACTCGCAGTCACTGCTTACGTGGAATTGCAAACTCTGCAGAGTAAAACTGTGAACTTACCTGGATTAATAAAAAAAAAAAAACAAACCCCATTTCCAGGTTACTCGGTGCTGCTGCAAAGTAGATTAGTGATCGCTTTTTAATGTGATAGGATTACAGCAGCCATGGAGGAACAGGGCTGACTGTACTAAACACACATCTGTACTTGGCCTGGCATTTTCTTTGCTACTGGGAGCTGTAATAGGTAGAATCTTGCTACAGCTTTATTGGGGAAAGACATACTAGAAGAAAATCAAATCCATTCTATACTGACATGGAGTTTTAATGAAGCTGATTATCTCAGGTGATTTGTCCAAAACTGTCTTTAGGTGGAAGGATGTAGTCTTGGCATTAGACCAGTGCTAATTAATTTAGACAAGCAGAGCTCTGGGTACAGTGTCTGATCCTCACAGTCCTCACCTGTGCTTTTAAAGCAAAAAATAACTTAAAAAAACTAAAAAAAAAAAAAAAAAAACAAAAAACAAACAACAAAAGAACCCCACAACCAAACCCACCCCACAAACTGCTGCATTTTCCCCTTGTTCTCTCTGAAACACCAATAATCTGGTTAATGAACACTAAGAGATGCAGGTCACTGTGTGTTTGCTACACATGCTTATTCTGCATTTATCCTCACGTCTCCTATTACAGAAGTTTGCCCACCACATCCATCTCCATTACCTGTGAACATCCAGACCCTGAGCAGGAATACCCTTCATTCCAAGACATGACCTCATATCATTAAAATGCTAAAGCAAAAAGATGTCATGTAAGTTTTACTTTTTAAAAATACAGGTGAGGACTATTAGCACTTGGATTTGAAACAGCACTGGACTACTACTAACAGGACTGTTGCAACTACAACTTCAGGGAGTGAGTCCAAATGTTGTTCCAGTACTTTCCAAAAAGTCCCAGCCCTGGGAGGTGTTTCCACGGTTTTTATTTGTTTTAAATAACTAACCTAAACCTTTCCTGTTGGATATAGATCAGCCTATTACTTATGGTGCTCCCCCAGGGAGTGAACACGAAGAATGGATCACTGTTCTCTAGAGCTGCCTGCCCTACTTTCTGTCTTCTGAGTTGAAGCAAACACGAGCTCTCCCAGTGAGCCTGTTTCTGTGAAATTTAATCAGGGTTATTAAACCAGGGCCCCTGTGTCCCCATGTTCAAAATGCAGCACCTGTCCCATCTCCCTATACCCTCTGTGGCAATTACTTCCCAAAGCTTTAACTTCACCACATCCCAGAACACACTTATGTAACAGCGCAACTCTCACCTTGCTGCTTTTTTTTCTTGTTATTTTTAAGACCTGGATCTTGGCTCTGAACACTTGCAGTAGCACAAGACCAATACTGCTGTGAGGAGGGGACATGCACAGGTGGTGACAGTGACTTCTCCAGGACCTCTGCAAACAAACTGCACCACAACCCAAGCTGAATTTTTAACTACTCAGTCTGGATCAGTTTTAACCTCCATACAGACCCCTCTAAGCATTTACTGGCCAGCAGAGTCCTTCACTTCAGAGGAAAGATGCCAGGAAAATTGTTCACACCAACAAAAAACGTACTGTAGAAAAGCAAATTAAAACCTTGCACTGTGGAGAAATATCCATCAAACTCTGGAGTTTGGCTCTCTTGAGATTCTAAATGGATATTCAGCCCTTCTATCTGTAGTAAAAAGTATGACCTGCTGTTGAAACTGCACAAGATAAAAACTCTAAATGCCGGTGAGATTGCAAATCTGTAACGTGTGCAGCCTCCCTGTTCACCTCTGTGCATAATGACAACTGAATTTAAAGTTACCAGATAAACAACCTGGGAGCAGGGAAAACTCTGAGGCACTCAGGGCATACACAGAATTTAATAACAAAAACAACAAAAAACCAAAACATAACTATGGGCACAGAGCTTTTGGAGGGGAAAAAAAAAGAAGAAAACTCACCTGTCTGTCGCAGCACCAACATCTAGCACAGCCACACTGGGAACCACCCAGAGCCCACCCTTTTAACATTCAGGGCTTTCCAGGTCTTTCTGATCAAGGAGCAGACCCTCTTTAGCTGATTGCCAATTGTTTTAATGACTCCCATTAATTCTGCCTCTGGGTATCTAATCACCACAGCTGCTGCTGCTCATGCTCCAGTACTCCACCACCTTTCCTCCCAACACTTCCATGCTTTTCTCTGCTCCATGCCCTTCAAAAGCAAACCTGCTCAGGGAGCCTGCCCAGGGCCTTTGCTATTGACTGCTGTAGTTTTATCAGCAGGGCACTGGGTGACAGCTCTTGTGCAAGAGAGATTTGGATTAGGTATTAGGAAGAAATTCATTACTTTGAGAGTGGTGAGGCTCCGTCAGAGGTTGCCCAGAGAAACTGTGGCTGCTCCATCCCTGGAAGTGTTCAAGGCCAGCCTGAATGGGGATCTGAGGAACGTGGACTAATGGAAAGTGTCCCTGTCCACGGCAGGGGCTTTGAACTGGATAATCTTAAGGATCCCTTCCAACCTAAGCCATTCCGTGATTCTGTGACTAGAACCCGCTCCTATTCGCCCTTATTTTGGCAGACCTGCATTTTCCCAAGCACGAAACCTCTCGCGCCTGTAACTCAGGGAGCCTGCCAAGCGCTCTGTTCGCCGCGCCGAGGGCCCAGGAGGTTTTGCTCAGCTCTCCGCGTCCCCTCGCAGAGGCAGAGGCGGCTGTGCCCGGGTGGCTCCGCCTCCCGCGGGTGCGGTGCCACGATGAACTGCAGCGATGCGCGGCGGCTGCAGGCGCTGCTGGGTGCGGTGCTGCGGGAGCTGCGCGGCCACGGCAACACCAGCGCGGCCCCGCAGGGACCCGGACCCGGCCCGGGGGCGGACGGCTCGCTGTACATCCTGCTCATCATGATCTTCTACGGCTGCCTGGCCGGGGGGCTCATCCTGGCGTACACCCGCTCGCGGAAGCTGGAGTCCAAACACGACCCCTACCACCTGTACATCGAGCGGGACTGGGGCCCCCGCGGCCCGGGGCAGGCGGCCGAGGAGGGCCCCGAGGGGCAGCGGCCGTGAGAGCGCCGGGACCGGCAGGAGGAAGGGTCTGTCCTGCGAGGGCATCGCTCCTGCTGCCCTCCGACTTGGGACTACAGACAGCCAGAGGCTGCGGGGGAAGCGAAACCCATTGCTCTTGTGCAGTCGCACAGCGCGCAAGGCCTGTCGTGCGGTGAGAGCCGTCCTACAACTCTTTGGATTCGTTTGTATCGCTTTTCTACAATAAACACCTGCATTACCTACTGCGGCCTTTCAGTACTTGGAGGGGGCTTATGAAAAGGAGGGAGAGTGAGTTTTTACACGGGCTGGTAGCGATAGGACAAAGGGGAATGGTTTTAAACTAAGAGGAGAGATTCACATTTGCTTTTAGCAAGAAATTCTTCACTGTGAGGGTGATGACACACTGGAACAAGTTGTCCAGAGAGGTTGTGGATGCTCCATACCTGGAAGTGTTCAAGGATGGGGCCCTGGACAACCTGATCTAGTGGGCAGCATCCCTGTCCATGGCAGGGGGTTGGAACTAGATGATCTTTAAGGTCCCTTCCAACTCAAACCATTCTGTGATTACATATGTACAGAGACTTCTCTCATTTTTCAGCTTTAGATCTTAGTTTAACATCTTTTCTTTAAAATCTGTTTGTATTCTACCTTGTTATCTGACCACAGTGCTCTTGCTGCCAGCAGCGTTTTGCAGAATTAAAAGCAGGTCCATTATTGCTGTAGGATGCTGCCTTCTGTCACTCTGGAGCACTGACAGCTGTGCCACGGATTGGAAGGCTCAGGTCTCGTTCTGTTAAAGCTAGATGGGTTTGGCTCACCTGGAAGCATTTATCAAAATAAAGACAGCTTAGAAACTGAAGTTGTTCACATGAGGAAAGCACCACTACTGTGGCTTTGCCAATGCACAGGAACTTTTAAAGCCATCAAAAACATTCTTCCACACACAGAGACGTGTAATTCCAAGAATATCTTTGTACAAGTTAAACTTTAAGATTAAACCAACATACAGCCTATGCTTTCTATAGAAAAAGCCAGGCAGGCAGAGGTTATTTTAGAGGTTCTAGACATGTCAATAGTCTGTGCTTTCTTGGTTTGGGTTTGGGGTGAAGTTTTTTCAGATAAAGATTAATGAACAATTCCAAGGAACAAGTGCTGTCACTAGGAATGCTGCACTACACAATACAAACTACTATTTGGATTTTATACAAACCACAGTGAAGGAAAAAGAAGTTTTGACGTTAACTTCAAAGGAGGAGTGATTTTGGTTATAGACTTAAATTTCCTAACACTCATAAATATTTTGTCCAACAGAAAACCAGTTGTCTTGTACTTGGCAACTGCTGCATCTTGTTCTCTACTGTAACTTTGTGGGGAATCACTTGAAGTGATGAGTTTAAAAAAAAATCCTTGAGAGGACTGGCAGTTACCAAGTCAACCTTGTCACTGTAGAAAAACACTGCAAGATCCACAGACCAAATTACAAAGTATCCTTAGATATCAGTGTCTTGTGAATACCTGGATATTTTAATGACTGCAAAGTATGGAGCAGAGAAAAAATTCAAGTTCCAGAAACAATTTTAGTGGGAGTATATGGCATAGTACTGTATGCCAACATTGTATCAGTACGTGAAACCTTCAGCTCAGCACAGAAAATGCAGCAGTCAGTATTGTGTGGGAAAAAGGATGTTGGAGAAACCAATAAACTGCCAATATTCTTAAAATCCCCTATCAAGTAATTGGACAACAGTAAAGTTCTAGTCATCTGCCAGGATTCCAACGGTATCTCTGGAAAATGAGAATGCTAACTTCAGCCTGGACTTTTGGAGAGTCACAAGCCATATACATATATATGTTATACATCTACAGCTGCAGAAGCCGACTGTCTAATGAACTTTCACACTGGGATAACTCAAACACTGTATCAGACACACTGGAAGATTTTCTGTGAGGATTCCCTTCAGTACAATCAGAATTAAGCTGACTACAACCAAAGCTTCCCCCTCTAAAAATGGGGGGATCACTATGCATGTACAAAACCTTTTATTTACCCTGTCTCAGTGATTAACTTCTCTTTCTGGCTGACCACTGCCCATGAGCAGGACTGGCCTGAGAAGCCTTACAGACTCACAGCTTAGGAATTATTCAGGACCACTGAACTCAGCTACTTTAGACAAGAATAGGGGAAGGACTGTTACAGGTTTCTGAGATCTGCACACATTTAAGTTTCAATGCACTGGACACTAAAATGCGTGCTTGACATATTTTGTTTCATATCAGCTGGTTACTAACTGCTTTCCACTGCTTCATCCTACAGACAAATCTGAAGCAAGGCTGTGGCAGTCCCTCCAAGTACCGCTGATTTCTTCATCTGATTTTCCCTTATCTTCATAATCTACTTCTCCCCCCAAAATGCAAAGTGTGTGCAACATGCTGTATTTAGGTCCTAACTAAAAACAAGGGCTGCCCATGTGAAAAAGTTTGCCCTGCACGACACAGTTCAAAAAGAAAGAAAGCACAAGACCTCCTGCCAAGTAACTTAACTAAACATCTAATTATCTGCTGTTCTATCTGTGCCTTTCAACACCTTGAAGAATCACAAGGTCTCAATGAACTGTAGTAATCTGTGATTTACATCAGTCCATCTGTTCTTATAGTTACAGTTCAACCAGATGTTTAAAGAAGGTAACACCATCGTGCATTAACACACACCCAGGTACTTGAAACACCCAAGAAGAATTCATACTGTGGCATACAGAGACCTTGATAAGTTACTATTAAGCCTATCAGCAACATTCATTTCTTTATGTTTGTTTTAGTAAGTCCAGCACATCCTGTACTGGTTGGAAATCTTGAAAAACCTTGAAGCTGCAAACTCAGCGGGACTGAAGTGAAATAGGCTGCAAGGAGACAAAAATTAGCCACTGAAACTCAACACATTTTTTTCCAGCAATAGTATATTCTAAGGTACCTGTATTACTGATGCAGGGCAAAGTGGCCACTTAGTCTCTGTAGCTTGTTCAATCACTGGACACAAAGGATAACAAGACAGATTTATTTATATTGTTAAATCCAACCTTCTGAAGGAAAAAGCCCAACTATGAATATCCTACCTCTTCTCAGTTAGGAAGAAAAAAGAAAAGCTTGCTTTTCTAGAAAGACCTCCCCGTTCTTTTCTTCAGACCAGGGGGAATTTTGAAAGAGCAATTTCTGAACTCACTTTCAACATACCTGCAAAAACATCTGGCTTGGCACTAACTGATTTATTATTCCCAGCACTCACAAACCCTTACACTGCATCAGCTGTCAGAGCCTTGCTCAGGATCATTACCAGGAGTGACTGCTCGCAAAGCCTCACTGAAATCTCCACCTTCACACACAGCAAGAACTTTCCAATATATTTGGCACCGTTTCCAGAGTACATTTCTAGAACAATCTGTTTCCACAAAACCACTGACCTTGCATTGAGATCTTCATCTTTTCAGTTGTCAGCTTAAAAGCTGCTGTCTGCACTGAGCAAGTGTTCATCAGTAATTTGATGTTAAATCTCCTGTTACCTCGTGAAGCTTTCCTTATTTGAGTGTCTCATTTCTTCTCAGCAGACAAACAGCAGAGGCACAACAACATGTTCTCAGTGAAAATACTTACAACCCAAGGATCTGGCTCAAATTTTGTTTGACTTCATCCAGGTATGTGCTGGACAGCAGCCTAGACTTCAGTAAATTTTAGAGGGAAATGTCAACTTGAGATAGTTACAGCTCAACACCATTTACTGCCTGAGAGTGCTCTGGTGAGGCATTTGCAACAGGATTATTCCAGACACATTTTTGCCCTGACAGAGCTCACAGCCAGCCTGTTCTGCAGTGCCCCAGCACCACACAGCAACAATCAGAACCTACAACACAAGCAGTCAAGATAAGGAAGCCACAACTTATTTCTTGCACTTTTAATATCACAAGAACAAGCTATGAAAACTTCTAATAATAATAAAAAAAATAGAATATCAGGTATGTGGTTTTTGGTTGGTTTTCTTTTTTTTAGTTTTTTTAAAATTAATCTTACAAGAGGTCTTAAACAATTTGAAAAACTTACAAAATATATTCAAGTGTGGAAAGTCATTTTACTGGTAAAACAGCATTTCTTTATAATGTGCTTTTCTCCAGTTAGGGTAAGGAAGTGTAGGCATATCAGAACCATCAGACCAAACTATTCAGACTAACAGAACAAATCCCTTTTTTCCATTCCAAGGAACAGCACAAGTATTTTAAATCAATTTAACTGTGGTATCCTAAAAGAACAAAACAACATAAAACCAGTGACTGATAAAGACAATACAGGGAACATACACAAAAAATCTATCAAGTCTTCAGTTGCTGCAGTTTCATATGTGGAAGTGCTTGGCTCTTCAGCTGGCTTTGTTTCTGGTTGTACAAGAGTAACTTGGTATCAAACAAAAAAAATGGGAGCATGGACTCCAGTTTAGAGTTTGGAGCATAAACATACTCATTTTATAGATGCCCATTGTAAATTTTGGGTATTGCAGCAGAGTCAGCAACAGGGGACACTAAACCAGCTGGATGGTTTCGTACTGAATGAGATAAAAGAATTTTTGTGTTCTCTTCTGCTAATTTAAGCACAGAAGTTTTAGCAAGCAGCACAGAACTAGTATGAAAGAGATTTTTTGTTTGTGCCATTAGTTACTCAGTTGTAAAGCCACTGGTCGACTGTAATAGCTTCATAATCACTTAGTAGAATAAATAAAAATATTTTGCAAACCAGCATTTTCAGTTATAAAGAGCAAGAGCTAATTCTGGTAGTACTGGATCACCCCAAGTGATCCTCATTGAAGATGATGGAAATAGGCAGGAGTAACTGGCACTTCTCCCCAGCCCGAAGCAATTGTGTTCCAAAAAATTTCTCTACAAAACCCCTGGGTATGCATACCAAGTCCCATTCCAGCCACAGATCTTACAAAGTAAGAGTTTAAGCTGGGTTTGTCCAGCTAGGCCAGTTAGTTACCTTCCTAAGTCACATTCCAAGTAGTGGTAGGTTTTTTTGTTTGGTCAGTTTTTTTAATATTAACTGCAGGAGTCAGATTTAAAAGCAGCTTGCATTTGGATAGCATGAAAATAATAACTGAGAATAACATATGGTTGAAACACTGCCTCATATATTCTAAATCTCCCAGTCTGCCTAGAAAAAGCTTAAAAATTACTATACAAATTCAAACTTGGATAAAAATATCCAAAAAGTATTTATTCACATGACAATCTTATCAGGTACTGATATAAGTGTGTGTTCTGGTGACCGCCTTCAAAGTCCAACAAGCCAATGCTACAGTTGCACCCATTACTACATTTTAAAAGGCAAAACCTGTTTTGTGTTTGCAAAGCAGATCTGTAACACCACTTACACAATCAAGAGCAAATTAAACAGCCAGTAGAGTACACCACACCAGTGTCACAGTTCAACAATGCTGTACCAGTTACAGGCATGTTTAGGGTTATGTTGTCTTTTCAAACTTGTATAGGAAATACAAATATATGAACATCGCGTATTCTCTTAAGAACAAACAGTAATTAAATAGAGTGATCCTTTCTTCACTACATACAGAAATAACAACGTATTTACAATATTTACAGTTTTCAAAAATTCTCTTCCTGCACTGGTCTGCAGGAATTCAAATTCTTCAGCCTGAAAAATAGGTACACAACACTTCTGACCATAAACAGCCTCTGAATAGACACAAGTTACTAATTCTACCTTACTGGTGTAAAGACTAGAGGGCCTGAAAAGGAAATACAGTCACCCATTTCACCCAAACACCCCGTTATTTGTGGGATTATATCGCAAACTACAGATGCTTTAGGATGTTCTACACATGTCAGATATTGCTCATTTTCACAGTTTTCTCGATTTAAGCCATAGAACCAGTGAGCTGCAGCTGTAACTGCTTTCAGACTGCTGTTGTCATTGTCACATGGGTTATGATGGGAGTTACAAGCTCCCCTCCTGTATTTTTAGTTACAAGCAAGTGCTCACAGATACAGCTACATTTTGGGGTTTGTTTGTTTGTTTTTCATTCTGCTTAAAACAGAAACAGACCAATTTGAAACAAATCTGCTGATATCCAGATTTACTCTTAAGTTCCCAAGTTAAGACAGACACTCTTAACCTGCAGTCTTGAAAACTATTTTAAAGCAGCTGAAAGCTTTAAACTGCAAATTCAAAGCAAGACACACAAAACACCCCAGAATCAATAATTAAAGGCCATGTTTACAAAGAACATGAAAAATACAGTAAAAACCTGCATGAGAGGAAGATAGTGTTTGTGGTGCAGAGCTGCTGTTCTTGAAAATAATTCAAGCACCTGTTCTGAATAACAGTACTGAAGAGAAAAATGGAAGGCTTCACAGTAATACACACTTTCAGTGCCACTTTTTAACTACAATGGTTCTTGAAAAGACAAAAAGGATTCAAAAGTTGCAGACTTAACATGGGAAAAATAGTCCAAACCTCATAGCAACAGAATGAACAGTTAAAGCAAACAGAAATCATGTTACCAACCTATTTCTAGGTCACTGTAAGACTTCAAAAGAAAAATATTCAGTTTGAAGTCCTTTACATGCATGTGGCAAGTTGTTGGCACAGGAGCTCCGAATCATTCAGCATGCCCTACATGTGAATCCATGTAAATTAACCACGACCAAAGTCTGGGAAGCTCAGACCAGAAGGAAACCCGATGAGATTATTTAGTTCTATCACATCAGAGAAGGTAACATTACCTTTCCAATGGATTGAGAGATTTGCTCCTTTCACAAACAGCAGAAACCACTGCAATCCTTCCCAGCCTCTTACAACCAGGAGTAGGTAGCTTTCGGAATTCCATCCACATGCCATAAGCATCTTCTTCAAAAAAGAGAAGATGCTACTGTAAAAACAGGTCTTTTCAAGTTGAAAAAAAACTATATTTGGTCAGAATTGTACGTGAATAGGATTTTGTACTTAAATAGCAGAGTTTGAGCATTCAGCAGCGGCAGCTCAGCTGCATGTAAGGCATTTGAGGAATGATTCGAGTACAGCTCACTGCCTTCAGCACTTCACTAAATTCAACTAACACGAGCAACCTCTCACATTTTAAGATTATTACTAAAGCTGTGGTCACTGGAACCAACCCCGAAGGATCTGCGGACCTTCCATAACAACAGATGCAACACAAAGAGCGCGTGTGTTCCCTGGGGAGAACAGCTGCCTGCACAGTGGACTCCTTCGTGCCAAATGAGAGAGGTCACTTCCCTGGCAGTCCCTGCTAACTGGCCCAGTCCTGGAAGCGGAAGCAATCCCCGGCGATCTTCCACACGGTGTTGGTCGGGGTGGCCTGTGCTGTCAGCAAGAAGTTCTGATTGAAGTAGCGCTGCTTATCGCCATCAAATTTGACAGTCCCACTTGTCACCACGAGCACTGTTGTCTGGCCTTGAGTAGCTTGTTCTTCACAAGGAGGTATAAAATGATGAAGAAAACAACTCAAACAAAGACTAGCAGGTAAAGGAGCAGGAAATGCACAGAGAGGCTTCGTTCAATGTGGCTGTACCAGCGCCAGGGTAACACCAGCTGGTTCCACAGCGGGGCAGAACAGCTTTGGTGCAGTGTTTCTACACAGACAACGGTGGGTTCGCTCAACACGGCTCTGCAATGGCTTTGCCATTTTCACCTCCTGCTGTTCACTTAGAGCACTATGACAAACACCTCCATTTTTGCTCAGAATAACCTCTCATTACTTGAGATATACACACATATAGGTATTTAGCAAGTTGCATAGACTTTTTCCCCCCGTTATTAGACATTATATCTTTTCCACAGCAGAGCAAAGCAAGTGTGCTTGACCACAGGCTTTTTCCTCACTTATATTCCCAAAATGTCCATTAGAAGCAATTTATTAACTTCTCAGTTATGTAAGCCTTTCTTTAGCAGTTGTTAGTCAGAAATCTAAAGAACTTAACATCTATTCTAGATGTAAAGAAATCAAAGTACACATAGGTTAATAAAGATTTGTTCCACGTTATACTGCAGATCAGGACCAGAGGCCACCATAGAGGTCTCTCAAGGACAACATAACCTGATACGTCAAGACTTTTTCCATACATGAAAATACATCATTTCTGAATATGATCTTAACAAAAAAGTCCTCAAAATATTTTCCCAGACATGAGAAAAAGTGTGGAGTTGCTGCATCTTTTGATTTGTGCTTTATTTATGCACAACTTGACATTTCAACCCTTGATATTGTCTCTAAGCTTATTCCAAAGGAAATATTAAGCCCTATTATAATTGCATTTCACTTTTAATAGTTAAAAAAGCCCTGAAAAATAGATAAATTATAACACAACCTTACCGTGAACAGGCTGGCAGTCCAACACATTAACCTGGAACTCACTTGATGGCAACATTTCAAAAAATTTATTTAGCTCTTCTTGCCCAGACACTGCATTCCCATTCCAAACTAACGTGGCTTTGTCCAAATATAGTCTGGTTAAAGCCTGAGTGATTATGAAAATACACATTTAGGAAAAATATGTAAACATACAGTGGACAACATACAAAACCTGCCCCCCTGTACTGATCAAACCCTGCTCCTGCAAGACACAGGTGCACACAAACTGAACTCGGGCCATGAAGAAGTGTAAGGCACTTCCCTTTTTACAGCAAGGCTGCACAGGAACATAAAACCCTCTGCAGGGCAGCCTGAGGCACAGAGGACTCAGCCTGGCCAACACAACACATGGTAACCCACGTGCAGGTGCTTCCTGTGTAATGCCAGTTAGAAAAGTAATAAAAAGTGCACAAGACAATTTAAACTATTGTCAAAAATCTACATACCCTTCTCCTCTTATCCATTGTCTCATAATAAATATTGACAAACTCATCTGCAGCTCTACAAGCTTGATCCACATAGGTTTTGAAATCCTGGAGGGAAGAAATCAGATCAAATTAATTAAGTTACACAACCCAATCACGTATGCAAT